CAGCTTCTCAACATGGTCATTGCCAATGCCCACGTTATTCTCCAGCTGTCCACTCGTGAGGGTTTCGAAATCAAGGTCTCTGAGGCTCTTCATGCCGGAGTTCCTGTGATTGTCTCCAATGAAGGCGGCATTCCCCTTCAGGTCAAGGACAAGGTCAATGGCTTTCTCGTTACCCCTGGCGACTACAAGACCGTTGCTGGACATCTCATGGACCTTTACACTGATCATGAGCTCCATTCCAGGATGTCTCGTGAGGCCAAGAATGGTGTCAGTGACGAGGTCGGCACTGTCGGAAATGCTCTTGGCTGGTTCTACTTGGCTGCTAAGTGCCAGGAGCTGGGCTGTAATCCAGGCCTCAAAGGTAATGAGAAGTGGGTAAACGACATGGCTCGTGAAGAGGCTGGTTTCCCTTACACTGAGGGCGAGAATCGTCTTCCTCGCCACTACACGCAGCGAAAGGAAGAGGAGCCGGTCCAGGAAAACGGCGAGTAATGTCTTGACCACCGTTGCTCCTTGTCTTAGATTCCATTTTATCCGAAAACGTCTGGGGTAAGAGAAAAAAAAAAGGGGGATAGACGCTTATATGTTTGAGGTCAAAGGATTGTTAGAAATGTTGTTCATGACTACGATAGGCTTATGTATGAAATGTTGGGCCATATGGCCGGGAACGAATTCCACTTATATTAGTATCAGATTTATGTCGGGCTTATGAAATAGCATTATGTTACATCAACCAGTGCCGTTTTCTCTAGAAGTCACGGTGAGTGTAGAGGCCTGTTCCTTTGAGATTTCAACTGCTGCCAGTCCATGGCTGTCTGCTGACTCTGACAGCCTGCACAGGATCGCACACCCTTTCATCATTCTCATTAACAACTGTTGCTAATACAAGAGAAGAATTTCCAGTCTATGCTGCAATCTCATGTGTTGGCTTGGTCTTTTGATCATGTTCAACCAACATCACACGAGGTCTGTACTTAGCAGGTAATAACAGGCCATAGGTACAGGCTTTCATCAACCACGAATCCTAATTACAATGATTCAGACGCAATCAATTCATTTGACTGTACATTATGGGGCTTCAGCGTGTCTGATCAGATGCTTCATGAACTGAGGGCACTGGCGCAGTTATTCAGTCGCAAGTGCCAGTGCCAGGCAGGTGCGAGGCAGTTGCGTTTGCGACTCACTTCAGAGGAAGGGACCTTTAGATGACGACACCGACCTAAAATCTCTGTTTTGTTTTATTTTGTTTTGTTCACCTCTCATCGCCTCATTCTCGAGTTGACTTCCCATTTGTTGTTCCCGTTTGTTATGCACAAAGGCAATCCTGTGCTACGATTCAAATCGGCTCTTTGATGGTCTTTGGCCATTTCTATCAGTGTCTGGAACCACTCACTCCTTACAGATCTTTCTTCAGTCTGAAAAGTTCTTCAACTAACTGACTGGTCATGTCTGCCTCTGGTCCTAACCCTGGTCCTGGTCCTGGTCCGGGTCCAGCCCCGGGTCCTTCTGTTCCACCCGCGCCTGATGTGACTGCGATGAATCCTGAGCGGGTTCAGATGCTCGCTGAGGCTCCTCGAGAGAAATCTCCCAAGCTGCCCCTTCATATCAAGAGAGAGGGGTCTTTGGCTCCTTTCAGAGTCACAGGCGCTAATGGAGATGCCTTGGGTGACTGGTCTAACCGTTCCTCCCTGGGCTCCCAGAAATCTGATGGAGGTTCCTTCAAGCGGTCCATCAGCGAGCTCATGATGGAAGCCAAGGAGAAGCGTGTAAAGCAGGACAAGAAGCCAAGAATCACTCCTGCGGCAAAGTACTACACCGACGTTCATCCCCTTGGTCATGGTAAGCAAGAATGCAAGCCATCCCAGCCAAGTTCACAAGCACTGATCGAATGCGTAGCTCCTATGCCAGACGACTCCACTCAGTACCTGACTTCACTCTTGCGAAACCGAAACTTGAACCTCTGCTTACAGGCCGCTCCGACCAAGAAGAATGATGCGCCTGGCAAACCCAAGACATATACCTTTCTCATCTCCAATGCTGGAATGGTCCAGCATGAGAGACTGTCCATGCTGGGCCATACTCGAGCTCTCCCTCTGTCCCTTCATGATCAGGACATCTCTTCTTCAGACGGTGCCATTACCCGCACCGTGATTGGCGAGTTGCTTGAGGATGTTTGGCCAAGACTGACAAAGAGTGACAAGTATATGTACGCCAGGCAACTCCGCAACCTCCTCCACAAGATGCGGAGAGAGAGCATGCAGAAGCCAAATTTTCCCCTAGGATCTATCGAGTCAGGAACTTACACCTTGCTTCAAGACAAGCATCCTGACCATACCTACTACGCAATTCGTCCAAGCCCCAACCAAAAGCAGTTCATGGCACTTCTCATGTCAACTTTGTATGAGTCGGTGCCCAAGGCTGTGTCCAAGGCCCTGATCTCTCAATTTCGGGTTGACTATCATTCAGTGCTCACCCATGGGGCCTTGTGCCCCAAGAACATTGTTGTCTCCAACAACCTTATCAGCTGGATCCTTGGTTGGGACTGTGCAGGGCAGTATCCAGTTTGGTGGGAGTATGCGCGGTTCTTCGAGGCGAGAACTTCCGAGGCGAACAGTGACTGGTACAGTTACGCAGCTGAGATCTTCGACGAGGAGTTCCCAGCTGAGTTGGCGGCCTACCAAGGAATTGCGAGATGTCAGCAGCCCTGAGTTTGGAGGCCTGCAGCATGGTGATTTTGTTTGCGCAAGCCGAGGCAACTTTTTTTTACCTCTACTGATACCGAGTGGATGCAACACGGGACCAACCTCGGAAGGAATCGGTATATTTTTCAGCAAATGATGAAGTTTTATATCTTGAAGACGTGTGGGCTGATTGATCAAGGCTATCGAAAAGAGTCCTACTCCTGGTTTGGCGAATCCCTATGGGATGTGATGGTGGAAACACATGATCAAGGGTGGCGGTATCAGATATTGTAGGCCCTGGTTGAAAGCTCGGCGATGAGCTGGGAAGCTTCTGATATTTAATAAAAGTGTTGAAAGATGACCGGCCTGAAGCCATCCTAAGATATACTGACCGTACCTAAGGATTCATTACTAAGAACATACGTCTCATTTCCTTGCCTCCTGGAGATTGTACATATCTACTCTTTTCAAGTTCTCTCATTAAACCTCAAGGTACTATACACTCGGTATCTTGACAAACAAACAGGTGATGCATGGTGACGAAACGTCGACCTTGGTTGCGTACACGTTATCGCTATTTTCCCCAACAACTCTTCCGAGCTTTACAACTCAGCTAACACGAACATATTTATTTCTCGAATCGCTTGGAAACAGTGCCCCAGTTAATGACCTCCCAGATGGCGCTGAAGTACTCAGCCTTGCGGTTCTGGTACTGGAGGTAGTAAGCGTGCTCCCAGGCGTCAATACCAAGAAGAGGCTCAAGAGTGCCAGTGACAGGGTCCTGGTTGGGTCGGGTGACAATGGACAGAGTGCCAGAGTTCTTGTCCTTGACGAGCCAGGCCCAGCCGGAGCCCTGGATACCAGCGAGGGTAGCGTTGGTCTGCTTCTTGAAAGAGTCGAAGGAGCCAAAGTCCTCATTGATAGCAGTCAGAAGCTTACCCTCGGGCTCACCACCACCGCCCTTGCCATTGGGAGCAAGATTCTCCCAGAAGAGAGAGTGGTTAACGTGACCACCGCCGTGGAAGTTGATCAGAGGAGCCTGGGCAGCAGCGGCCTTGGCGTCGTTCTTGTGCTGGGCCTCAGCGAGGGCGTCGGTAGCGTTGTTGAAGCCGGTGACGTAGGTCTGGTGGTGCTTGGAGTGGTGAAGCTCCATGATCTGGCCGGAGATGTGAGGCTCAAGAGCGCCATAGTCGTCTAGTCTTTGTTAGTTGTGATGATGGATGATTGTGGGAGCGGGAGGGGTCGTACAAGGAAGATCGGGGAGGGTGGCCTTGTTGCGGACGAAGCTGGTTGTGGCCATGGCGGCGAGGGGAGTTGAGCGGGCGCGCAGACCGGCGCGGAGGGCGGGAGTTGAACGGAGGAGAGCGGAAGCCATTTTGAAGCTGTTGATATTAGCAATGGACCAATGAAATTGAGTTTGAGGTTAGGAACTGAACGAGAGCAAAGCAATTTTCTTGACATGTGCTAGATGTGCAGTGAAAGAACTCACAGTATTATTATAGGCAAGCTTGTGATAGTGCAATTGACGATGATGTCAAAAAAAAGTCGAGTAGAGTCGAGTCGAGCGGAGGGAGGGGTTGGTTAAAGAGCTGATCGGGACGGCAATGTCGGGTCTGCCGAATGGGGGAGCTTGGTTCAATCTGTCGTCATATTTGGGAGAGCTTGGCTTGATCTGAGGCTTGGCTTTAGTGGCTAGTGTTGTGGCTTTATCAGTAAAACACGATGGAAGATGTTGGGTTGCAGTGTCTATGGTCTTCTGGATATTTCCTTTTCGATCTGATGGACATGATCTGACTGATTATCATCATTCTTTCCCATTCTCACGCTTCAATTGCTTGAATCTCTTTGTTGATGAGGTTGGTTTAGCTCAACTAGACATCACTATCAATCATGAACTTTGGGTCACTCAGCTCGGTCTTCTCCAAACACCGAACAGCGACACGACGTCAACAACCAAATTTTTGATTCCATTCTTTTTCAAAGCAATAAACCGAGTATTCCAGTGTCAATCTCCCAGGTCTCCGAGATCGCCGATCTCGGAATACCGAAGTCTGAGATGCTAATGACGCAAAAGAGGACCTCGTGAGTGTTGGCGGGCCATGCATGCAACGTCGGCTAAGTATGGAATCAATTGTCACATTTCTATTCTAGCCCAATGGACGAGAAGCTGTTTGTTATTCGTTCTTGATCAAGATGTTGTTCCTTCTGGTGCAGGGTAGTCAAGTTGAAGATTATGTCATCGGCGCGTCCATGTAATTATCGCCAATCCACTCTACGCGTCTCCCTCAAGCATACCCCAAAAGTTACAACACAGCAAAGATGTCGTACTACGACATTGACGCCATCCTCACGGATGCAGAGGTATTTCCCCCACGCCATGGACCCAACAATCACAAATACAAAACTAAAAATCTGCAGAAAGTCCCCTGCCACTTCGAAATCGACGTTCGTGACCTCGGCCATCTCGACAACTCCCCCCACGGCCTCAAAGCCCAGACCCCCCTAACCCTCCCCCTCTGGCTCGCCGAAATGCTCGCCCTCGCCTCAACACCCAACTCCTCCGCGCCCCTAACCCTCAACCTCCCCCCATGCCTCTCAACCACCGTCCTCGCCGCTCTGAAAGCTGATCCGCGTGCCGTTCCCCTCCGTGACCAAAGTCCTCACTTCTACGGTGTCGGCGTCAAAATGCTAGAGTTGTTCGACGAGAAGGAGATAGCGGAGGTCTTGAGAAAGACATTTGTTGTGAGGGCGGGTGAGGTTGGTCTTCATGCTAGAAAGGCTGATGAGGCGGTGGGGGGCAATGGGGAGGAGTTTTTGAGGGGTTTGGAGGAGTGGGAGAGGGGGTTGTTTAGGAGGGGACATGAGGGTGTTAAAGGAGCCAAGGAGTGGACTGATAAGGTCAAGAAGACATGAGTTGGAGGATTTAAGATACCCATGAGTTGCCTCACGGCACTACGCGTCTACGAACACAAATACACAGACATGAACCATGATCTTCAGTCCGTTGAGGGAATATTCAGGGATAAAAGCGTGCATTTCCAGCACGGTCTATTACTGACTCCGACTCCTACGCCTTGAAGCCAGCCGAGGTTCTCCTATCCGTAGGCAAACGGTACTAATCCATCCAACCGCTCAGTAATGTTCCAACCGAACGGAACGACAAGCCCGGCATTTCCCAGCATGCCCTTCAGATTCTACAAAAACCCCAATAATAGCTAGATATATCTCCCTGAACACCATTTCCCGGTCCTTCTAAGTACCCAAGAACGCAGCGCTGAGCGCTAGCAATTCCCGATGAAAACGCCATGCTCGGAAGCTCACTCATCCTTTGTCATGTACAGGATAGAAAATGTAATAAAAATGCAACCGACTCCTCTTTTCCTCTCCTGGGAAAGTCTCCCACCAGTTACCGTACCCGGCCCAGTATGTATCGTAGCCACGCGACGAAGCACTTTCGATCGCGTCGAGAATAAACGTATAGGTGTCGCACCGCTCAAGCGGTCGAACCTCGTTTGGCCGCCCATCTAGGGACACAGCCAGGTTTGAAACGTATCCACCAGTTTAGTCTGCCAAGGGACTCGCTGAAAATAAACCAGAGAAAAGGTTGTAAACATCGACGCCGTGACAGTAGAGAAAAAGGAAGTTGAAGAAAAGAGTAACGAAAAGTTGAAAGAAATAAGAAACAGCAGCAATCATAAAGCGGACTCTCCTGAAAATCATTATGTGTGAGAAGGCAAGTCGAAACATAAGCAAGAGGATCCTTGCTATGGAAATATTTGTGCGTGTTCGCCAGAACAGCACACCGAGCGGAGATAACAGTCTGATGAGCCATTATCGTATCAACTCATCTTGGACTCGGGCTCGGACGCGTGGATTTTTTTTGTTGATTTTTTATAGGTTTTCTTCTTTATGCAATCCTCATCCCTTGGGGCGCGAGGTGCTGAGAGACGACTCGACTCTGAGATCGATATCGGTAGCACGTCAACCGGTGGAGCAGGGATAACAGCGATACTAGAAGTCAACCTTCATCATCGTTGCTCATGCTCCAAAGATTCAAGCTGCCCAGAGGGCATTGTCAGCCATACTCATGTGAGACATGTCCTGAAAGTTGGCAGGGGTGATGGTGTTGGTAGATGAGAGGTTGGAGCCATAGGCCGAAGTGGCATGCTCGGAGAAGGCATAGTTGTCAGCAAGGCCGATAGGAGACCCGTTGAAAGGGGAGTAACCAAAGTTACCAGAGGCAGACGAGATGGGAGCGGGAATGCCAAGTTCGCCATTGACACTAGCCATCATGGCAGGGTCGGCAGCGCCATCGACGGTAAGGTCATAGCCAGTCTCCATGTTGAAGGGTGCCATGCTGCTACCAATGCCCTGGAACATGTCCATCTGAGGAGGCATGCCAGAACCGTCCATGTTGTCGTCGGCCATCTCATCAACATCGTCCTGCTCAGCCATGGGAGAGTCATTTAGGTCAACTTTGACCTTCTTCTCAACGAACCAAGCCTTGAGATCGTTCATGGGAGGCCAGTCACCACCGCCCTTACCACCTCGTTTCTCATCACCGTTAGCACCCTTCTTGCCACGGGGAGTCTTGGGCTTGAAGTGGGTGCGTCGAAGATGAGCGGCGGCGTTGTAGTAAGCACCATACTCCTTGCCGGAGACGCATGCCTTGCACTTGGACAACGGGTTGACGGCCTTGACATTGCTCTCGATGCCGACAGTAGCAGGGTCACGGCAGACGAACTTCTTGACAGTGCCCTCATGCTTGGCGTTGACGTGTCGGCGAAGCTCATGATCACCTCGGAAGCCATCGGGATGCTCAGTGCACTGGGTGCAGTAGACCTTGGGATGCTTAGGTCGCTGGTAGTTGCTCTTGTTTACAGGAAGCTTGGCCTCCTTGTTGGCAGCGGCAACAGCTTCAGCCTTGGCGACCTCCTCCTTGGGCTTCGGGGCGAGCTGGATAGTCTTGCCTGAGTGAAGGACACGCTCACGAGCTTCCTTAGCGCGTCGCTCGAGGTTGGAAGCATTTGATCGGACACTAGACATGCTGGTGTTGGAGCAAGATCGCTCCATGTCGGTGGACTCTGGCGATGTCATGAAGGTGTTGCCGTTGGAGTCGGTATACTGCATGTTGACAGCAGAAAGGTTGGCACCGAGACCGAAGAGGTCTTGCTCAGAGTTGAACTGCTTGCTAGTGGGGTACATGTTGACAGAGCTGGGAGACAGATCAGGAGCAAAGAGGGCATCGGCTTGGGACTGCGAGGATTCTAGGCGCTCCATACCGACGCCATAGCTGTCGAAAGAACTATTCTGGCGGGTCAAAGGGCTAGCAGCCTCGGCAGCAGAGGGACCAGAAATCATTGACGGGCAAGCAGAAGACATGGGATAACTGGACGGAATATTTGACGAGAGGTTGCTGAATGAGTTGTCTTGCACCATGTTATATGGAAGTCCGGAGTATGATGTGTCGAAGGTTTGAGGGACCTGAGCTGTCTCTGGCCACTGTTTCAAGAACTCGTCGGGGTCCATGCCAATGTTGAGTAGAGGCTGATTCTCCTGGACGCTGGGCAGTCGATCCGAAACACCCTCGAGAGGAAGATTGGGTGATTCATTTTGAGGAGAGTTGAATCGATCCATGGAAGCACTTAATGGAGCTATCCTGTTGCCGGTCTGAGAGAAAGGCATGTGAGATTCAGAACGATTTGAGACACTGCGGCTCATGGGGAGAGCGGAGCCAGACTGTTGAGAGAAAGCTCTCCTCTCACGCTTATGAGCCTGAAGGCCATTATGCCGTTCCTATTGAGATTATCAGAAAGGTGGAGATGGCACAAGGCTTAGGGTGTATTACCGTGATGGCGGACTTTACTTGGGTGGGATATGTAATTGTAGACTTGCTACGAGAGAGACCACTACTTCGTGCACTTGAGAGGCCATGGCTAGGGATTTGGAAACCGGGCTGAGCCAGAGACAAATTTTGTGCGACTTGATTTAAGACTGTTGGATCTCCTCTGAACTGACTTTGCACGAACTGCTCGAGCTGTGAATTCCGCGCGTTGGCGGCTTCTAGCTGACGTTGAAGCTCCTGAACAGTATTGGCGTTTTCTAAATTCATTCTTTTGAACTGAATAGTAGATGCTGCGATAGTGTTTTTCTTTTTTGTGTTTCTAGCGAGGCGAGGCGAGATATTCGGAGACGGGATAGCCTTGATACGATGAGATGTTCTGGTGTAAGTAAGGCGGGCGGATTCTGGAAGCTGGAGAATAGAGCTGGAGCGAGGCGAGCTTATTGAATGGTTGAGGGAGGACAAGATAAAACGGCTTGCCACAGGCGAAAGATTAAAAAAGTGGGATAGTAGCGAGTAGTCGAGGACAGACGACGAGACGAAGAAAAGAAGGTGAATGAGATGCGGATGGGATGGAGGATTAATAGTGAGCCAGGATCGAGAGAAGAGGCGGCCAGTCGTTCAGGATGAGGCTTCCAATCCCCACTCAGACCTGACAGGGATCATGGCAGGGATCTTGGAAGGATATTCAAGGGTGTTGCGCTGCGGTGTGTGTAAGGTTAAAGGAAGAAATCTGTCTGTCTGTCTGTCTGTGACTCTGTAGGTGGTCTCTGCTCTGTGGGTGGGCGGTCTAATTAGGCTTGGCCTGGCTCTGGCTGAAAATGCAGTGCATACAGCGGCATGCATGGGTGTGTGATGATGATGATGCAGCGTGCGTCTTTGGTGGTGTGTTTCAACAGACACTCAATCAATCAATCAGTCAATCAACCAAGACGATTTGGTTGTGTTAGGCAGACCTCTAGACTGTCAAGTATGTGATTGTGCCCGAGTGGTCTGATCAGAGTCTGCATCGAGATGAGGGGATGAAAAGAGACAATACCGAGTATCAATACAAACAAGTTCAGAGGATATTAGACTTGTCGCAAAAAAGAAGCTTGTGGAGATAACGATGATGATGATGATGATGGTTCTTCAACAGATGCCGTTGTTGTTGAGATCCATGGATTGAAACAAACTGAAAATGGGATGAGACAGGATACGAAGTGGACCAAGCCAGTATCAGAAGGGAATGGTGGAAGGCACAAAGGCACGCGTGACGACACCTAAAGTTAGCCAGCTCACTCACTGACACCTCCCAGCTCCAGCGCGTGGGCATCTCCTTGTACAGCGTTGGCCCCCACTGACCAGTCACCAGCGGTCAACTGCAACGACAAACCACCCACTATCGGAGTGCTCGGTGGCCGCTGAAGAAGACCCCCATCGGATCACCTTGGACTGAGGTGCTAATAAAACAACCCCCGGCGTAGCGTCTCATGCCAAAAAAAGAAGAGAGCCAAAAGAAGCCAAGTCGACTCCATGACCCCTGTCGCTGACACGCCCGGTGGATGTGAACGTTGTTAGAACCGCTGCGATTGGCAGCTCAGAACACTCTCTGCCCAGGTCTGGCTTGCTGCGACCACTACCAGCGGCGTTTCTGGTTGCGCGTACAACTCATCTATGCCATGCCATGCTATGCTATGCCGTCCACGAGATGCGTTGAAAAGAGGCATCTGTTATCGCAAGCAAGAGGCTCAGCTGCATCAAAAGTGGTGGGCTGTGTCTACGTTGTTTACTCGGGCATTTACATACGGTACTTGGATCTGTCTGTGCTTGATTCCCATAATCTAGGACTTTTCCACCTACAAGTCAGTCAGTCAGACGGCAAGCCGCATATCTTCTGACATCTCACCTCTCTCTTTCAGTTTCCGACGGCCGCCTCTCAACAAAGTCTACGTAATTAGCGGCACAGCATCATCATGACAATGAGAAAACAGAAAGAAAAAGAATTCGAACACTCACGAGAAAGGAGAAAAGAAGAAGCAACGTGACACAAGATCCCAACTTCAAGCTTCAACGCCATGACGGCATCACTTCAATCCTTGCTGGCTACAGGGTACGCACTACGAATCTACTGTAGGAAAAAGCAAAAACATGACCAAAGTGCCTACTGAGATGTCATGGCGCATCCTCCAGAAAACGACAGTGACAACGTTCATACCGAGCGGGCACCATGGGGAGGGCGGATCTGATCCGACACGAGAGGCGCAAACGAATTCCAAACCAGGCAATTCAATTCGTCTATCGTTTCAGTCACTCACACTCACTCAGCACTCAAAGTTACAGCACAGCACAACACAACAAGCGCGGTGTGAAAAACATGTCATCCGCTAACCCACTAGATTCTCTGACCGGCTGCAAGCTCCTGCTGTCAGTTCCCGGAGAAGACACGGACGGAATCAAAGTTTGTCTGTGTCTGTGTTGGCTCTTGTTCTGTTTTAGCCCGTTTGAAGATATTCCCGACGAGGGAGGTAATGTAAGTTTGATGAACATTACACGAAACGTGATGCCCATGAAATGAAGTTGCTATTTTCAGCCCTGCTCGAGACAATGAGAACACACAGACGGGAGATTAATGAGATTATCTCGTAGGCGAGATCATCATCTCGATTTCTACGGTATTGCGCAGAAGCTAATTCCAAGAGCCGGCTGGCAGCGGCGGGACGCTGATCACCAAATCTTTCCCTGCTTCTCAAACTGGGCGTTTCCACCAGGAACAATAATGTGCCGCCGACGTACGTGTTAACAAAAATTCAGCTGAGAAAATAAAATAAAAACCCTTGATCTGACAAAACATGGGGTTGAAGATAGAAAATGTTATCGATTTCTCCAGATCCTCAGGGATCGTTTCAATCGTGACGACGATATTCCTGATATTTTATTTTCATCGTTTCTACAACTGAGCTCTCACAAAAAAGGATGCCATCACCAGCGACGTTCCAAACGGGCTTGGTTTCATTCTCCAACGGGTAGAATCCCTGTAGGAATAAGCCCACACTCCATCTCCTTTCGCAACCCACCACTTTACGCAAAACGAGGCAATCAATCGCTGAGACGGGGCACTCATCGATTGGCTGTCGAGCGTGGCCAGGCACACCCACTTCCCATCTCGATTGGCTCCCGCGGTCGCATAGAGTGAGGCGGACGGGCGGCGCCATCCATCCATCGGCTTCCTAACGTTGGACCGTACTGTACTCTGTACCGGACGGGTTAGAGATAATCCTTTTTTCCCGCAGTGACCAGATAGCCAGATCAAGGACACCACCTCTTTGGGTTTGGTGCGGTTTTGCGCTGAGACTCAGACTACGAAATAACCTCAATGCAACATACCAGGTGCCCTTGCTTCAGCGATGATGATGATCTTCTTCGGATGTTAACACCACCGCAGTCTAGACCTAATGATCTTCATCACCCAGCATCTGACAAGTTAGCTGCTGTCTCCGTTTGGTTGGGGAATCGCCCGAGCATTGTGTGTCATGCAGGCATTCTGATTCTTCTGACTCGAACCTCAAAACCTTGGCGTTATCTACATGCTGCCGTGCTCTAACAAGAACAAAAAGGGAACCGTAGCAATTAGTGCTCGTCCATAAGTTCCCGTGCTAAAGTTTGCAACCCATCGCGAAATTTGTATCTGCACGGATCCGTCTTCCGGCTGCAATAGCTCCATGCCATAGTCTCAACCTTCGTGGCATTTTCTCCGAGATAGCTTCAGAACCTTCAGGCATCCACTAACCAAAATGTCTTTGCTCAGTTGTTTTCCTTGCGTGGATCATGCAGGCTCAACCCCCGTCTAAACTTGAAATTTCGTAGATCATGGATAGAAACGTTCCATTGATAGCTTCATGACCGTGCGAGCAAAGGCGCACGTGCAAAACAATGTCCCCATCTCAGACTCATTTGATGCGTTGGCACTTCTTGTTGATCTGACACGCATGTGATGTGCACGTGCGAGTTCATGTGCAATCTCACGTTATTCGAGTCAATGTGCGAGATGAAGAGGCTGAAAATACAGTTTAGATAACAACTTCAACTGCCATTGCTGCTTGCAAGCACTTCGCTAACACGCACATACATAGCAGCACGGAACCTGGTTAATGGCCATGCTAAACTCAATTTCCCCGGCCTAACGGTTATAGAGAGTTCAGTAGCGTGTGATAAGAATTTCATTCCCGAGTCTACATTGTGATTGTATTCAAATCCCGACTGGCGTTGGATCTTTTGTTTCAACTACCCTGCATCCTCGACCTCACATACAAATTCATAGCCCGCATATTGCGCGTACCTGATGCCAAAGCGTTAAGACTAACCCAAAGCACTAGGCCAATGGTATTACCTATAGCCAGGAGTTCCCATGCTTGAGACATTCATTCAACATCAAACCCGTCCCTAGGCGCATGAGTAAGTCCGACTAAACAAGCCTATACTAGGGCTGATGCATTGCGACGAACCGTTCTCCATACTACTACGCAAACTCCTGCCGGTAGTCGTCAGTTTGCGAGCCAACTCAACTCGGCACTCAAGCGAGACATAAAACTGGGATCTTCAACAGACCAAAGCTCAATATCATGCCATGATGAACATTTAGCGCTATCCCACAGTGAAAATCTACGTCAGAAGGGACCAAATATGAGGAGCGGCAATTTCTCCTCGCTGGGTATTCGCTGTCAAAGCGGTGCTCTAGCGGTCCGACAACTCACAGATCGAGAGATGAATCTCGTGAATCTCGTGGAGAAGCAAGACCCTTGAGCACCTAGATTCCCACCGTTTGAGCTAGCAGGCCCTGGAGGAAAGAATTTCCACTCGACACGTGTTCAAGTCAAGGGAGTTTCTCCTGAATGCCGGTTCTGCTCCGAAGCGAGGATGTTCCCAGGAGAGGCACGTGTTGATGAGTCTGTGGTGTTGATCATTGATGGCATTGCGATGCCATCCTTGAGAATTCCTAAGGCCCAATATTGTATCTCGGATAAGATTAGATTGTAATTCGAGGAATCATTAGTCTGTAGTTAGACCAAACTATACTGCTTCGTAGACACATTAACAGAGTCTGCTGGAGCTCTGTAGGTTGCTGTAACGTAACAATGAAGCTCGACGAATGTTTATGCTTGTGCTTCTGCACAGATTGGAAATTGAACCTCCGTCGTCTCACCGTCTCATTGATATTGACAGTAATTTTGTAATGTAATTCTCAGGAGACGAAGAGAAATGAGCTGTGATGTAATTGTCAGCCGCTGTCA